GACATACCTGCCTGGCTACCTAGCTGGGCCGAGTGGCACGCAGGCTAGGTTGCATTGCCGATAAACAACATGGATTCTCTAAAAGAGCAGCTAGTTCCGGAGGTCCGAACCAGGTATTTTGACACTTTCTCCTGTCATTCGTTCAAATTAGAAATGCTGAAGGTACAAAAACTTATATTTGGCTGCATTCTCTTTAGGTTTTCAATTTTTTAAAAGAAGAACGTGGGATTAAAGATGGCTTTTGCCAACAGTTTAAAGACGAAAGGGTAAGAATTCGTTGAGAACTGTTTCCTGTACTAGACTCGAGATTGTGGCGCACTTAAATTTGATACCTCAGATTGTCTTTTTACACTTTCCTTACCTTCTTGTTACGTCTGGTTTACTTTCGAGAAACCTTTAATCATTTAACTTCAAGATGGGACGGTTATTTGTGCTTCACTGGGAATAGTTTTGACCCTTTTCATAAATGGCTGCCAATTAAATTTTTTTTGGAAGTATTAAAACTAGCCAGACTAACCTCGGGTTTGAGTTAATAATTTGAAAGAAATTTTACTCCCAAACGAGTTTAGTGAAGTTAATTTCATTGCATACAAAATAATGTTTAAATTGGTAGCTACTTATCATTCCTAGAATCCAAAGTAATTGATTTGGAAATAATTGGATGAGAGAAAAAAATTTTTTTTTTAAATTTAACTACTTCCAAATTGGACAAGCATGTAGTCCTTTACCCACTAAGTTATGTAACATTCCAAAGTAGATGAACTTGATGTAGGGCAAATGTTGGGCCTGATACATGATACATGATACATGATACATGATACATGATACATGATACATGATACATGATACATGATACATGATACAGGAACATGATACATGATACATGATACACGATACATGATACACGATACATGATACATGAACATGAATATGAACAGGAATGAAATTCAAGCATTCTTCTATGGTATGGCATTAATATGGTCCAGTGGATCTAAGTAGAGTTGGAGAGCTTCCTCTGCTGTTGTAGCTGGTTCTAGACCTTCATCCTCCATGATTAGATCGCAGAGCTCTTTAAAGTAGGGACATCATTTCGCTTGTGGTTGCTCGGCACACGTATCCTGTGCGATTTCGATTTCGTCGATGTCAACAGGAGTCATGTAATCTTGACTCTCAGCTGATGCTGGAACGAAGTATAATACATCTGGCTTTCCTGACGGAGATTCCACATTGCTATACGGCCGAATTCGGTGAACATTCCATTCCAGTGCAGCTCTGTGTAGTTCACTTTGTATGACATCCATGAAAAAGAACTTCAGGCATTGGCGATGTATTATATCATCATCGTGATACAAACCACAATCTCTCAAGTCCTTAAAAAATGTAATCCACCATTCTGCACATCCTTGCCTCAAACGTCCCCACCATGCTTCAATTCTTTGGTTTGCTGTAGATTTCCCATACATGAAACTTTTATCACCTGCAAAGTCGTCATTTATGGACCGCCGAAAGAAACGCTGAATAGCTGCTAAGTTTCTGTTCTCAGATCCCCTATCTCCACCTACAATCCTTGCCGTACCTCCTAACTGTCTTGCATAGTCTAAGAAATATTGAGCTACTATACGAGGGTCGTTGTTCGAAGATGCAACCTCCAGCCATAGGATCCTTCGACTAAAGCCATCAATTGCACCATGAATGCAGAATCCAAACGGTTTTAGTTTGTCGTAGCCGTCAATGTGCCATAAGTAATTTGGTCCTTTACACCTGTAAATTCGTCGTCGTAGTCTATGCTGTGACCTATGCTCCACCCCTTCAGGATCAAAAACCCTCAAAACATGTCGAACGACTTCCCTCGTAGTAACAAGTG